ATGTTAAAAATATTAATAAAATAGAGACTTTGAAAACATTCCTACTGTACCTTGGATGTTAAAAATATTAATAAAATAGAGACTTTGAAAACATTCCTACTGTACCTTGGATGTTAAAAATATTAATAAAATAGAGACTTTGAAAACATTCCACTTTACATTGGAAGTTAAAAAGATTTAAAACATGTAAGAGCAAAGGGCAATTCTGATGGACATTTTATGACAACTCTTTATAAACCTTGTGCAACTCAACAAGCTTTCAGTATTTCAGAGACATTCATCCCTCCAAAAAGGATCTGTAAGTATTTCCTAACAAGCTTTCAGTGTTTTAAGGACATTCAGACTTCCCAAAAGGATCTGTAAGTATTTCCTAATAAGCTTTCAGTGTTTCAGACCTCCAAAAAAGATCTGTAAGTATTTCCTAACAAGCTTTCAGTGTTTTAAGGACATTCAGACTTCCCAAAAGGATCTGTAAGCATTTCCTAACAAGCTTTCAGTGTTTCAGACCTCCAAAAAGGATCTGTAAGTATTTCCTAACAAGCTTTCAGTGTTTCAGACCGGAAATGCTTACAGATCCTTTTTGGATTCACAACTATCTTCTGAAAAAACAATATACTATTTCTCTCTCTCTCTCTCTCCTTCTCAACCACTGATTTTCCTTTCTGTTCTGGGCTTTTATTCGGGCACAGCCCAGGCAGATTTTTTTTGGTGCCTAGTCTGTGAAAGTGGGTTTTCCCACTCCCATCCCCCCCCCCCCCAGCAAAAATTCTCTGGCACTGGATTTATAGATCCCCGCCACCCTGAAGGTCCCATTGTCTAAAAAAGGGCCATTTGATTTGAGAAACACTGATGTCTGGATCTCCCACATTTACGTTTTCTCAGCTCTTCCTGACTGCTTGAGGCATCTTTGAATTAATTAAAATCACTCATGTGAAGACTGTCAAGAGCAGAGTGAAGAGGAGGTCACATGATCTGTGAACATCCCTAGTTTTAAAACAACCTAAATTCCTGACATGATTATTGTTGTTGTTGTTCCTAACAAGCTTCCAGTGTTTTAGGAACATTCAAACCTCCAAAAAGGACTTGTAATTGTTTCCTAACAAGTTTTCAATGTTTTAGGGACATTCAGACATCCAAGAAAGGTCTGTAAGCATTTTTAGGGATACCAGAACTGAATTCCTTGATGAAGATGCAATGTGTGTATGAAAAGCAACATTTGGTACAACCAGTCAAAAAGAAATAAATGGATACAGTTATACTATATAATGACAGGCAAAACCTTCTCAACATACATCATATATGTGAATATTTCACTCACTAAAGCTAATATTTCTCTTTATCAAATAAATAAATTTGGAAATATACTTGAATTGTTAAATGACCAGTTATTCTGTCCAATAAAATATTTAACCCTTTGTTCATATTGTGATTTTTTGATATTATGCACATCTTACCACAAGTACTTTCATTACAGCATACACCTTTGTTGAATTGGATTTCAAAACCTTTAGGACAATCAGGAACAGAAGGACATTTGTCCAGATAGCATTTCACAACCACCTCCTTACAGCAGCCAGATGTGTGGACTTCTGTGCCTTGACCTAACTCTAGTTTGGCAGGCCATTCCAGAGGTGGACACATTTTTTCATCACATTCTAATAAAAGAAAAACCCAAATGTGAATTATAATAAATTATGAATACACAATGCTTTGTCGTGTATAGAAAGAGAGAAAAAAGAAAAGGAAATTATACAAAACATAAAGCTGAAATGAATTATTCATTTGAAAGTTTTAATTATTTCAATACAGAAACTGCATGCAACTTATAAAAGCCCAATAAAGTGTTTTTCAATATACACAAGAAAGTTTATATAATTTTTAACAAATTGTTTTAATATAATCAACACACAAACCCATACAGAAAAGTTCACATAGCTTATAGAAGCTCATTAATTACTCTGTTTTAGTCATCATTAACTACTCAACATTTTTATGCTACAGAATTTCTAATAAGTAAACAGGTTATTTTGTGCTTTGATGACAATCTTAAGAGTTAGTAGCACCATCAGCACTCATAATTGTCACATTGAAAGAAGAAATCACAAACTGTGTTTTATCAGAGTGGACAGCATATATATAAAAAACTGTACATAACATGTAACGTGATGAATCAGTTGTTAGGTACAGCAGCTGAACATTATTACTTACCACAAACATAAACATGGTATTCTATTTTACATAAACTAAACAAATAAACATGTATATCAGAGACATCTGGTATGGGTATTAAAAACTTTAATTACAATAAACTACAAGAACAATGTTTCAACCTTCTTAGGTCATCTTTAGGTTAACAAAGACAGTTTGAAACTGACCGTTACTGGGCACATGTCTTGGGGACAAGAGTGTCAACAGGTATGAGACTGTAGGGGGCATAGCAGTTAGCTGTTATGTGATACATTAATATAGGTATAAAGGTGTTCCTTTATGTTGGTTCAATTTTGGTTTGAGTTCTTGTATAAGTAGGACTTCTTTGGATTTGCATTTGAATCAACATAAAGGAACATCTTTATACCTATATTAATTAATCACTCTCGTCCCCAAGGCATGTGCCCAGTAACGGTCAGTTTCAAACTGTCTTTGTTAATCTGAAGATGACCTGAGGAAGTCAAAACATTGTTCTTGTACTATATTTACCACAAACATAAACAGGATATTACATTTCAACCAGTAATAAACAAATATACATTATTACTTACCACAAACATAAACAGGGCATTCTTTACTTGTATCAATCTTGGCCACCTCTCCAAGTTTACAGTCAGGAAGATTTATCTCTTCACATTTCTTAACTTCCATCTCTGGTGTAAATATTATTAAGAAAAACATTACTTACAGTGAAAACTGTTTCCATTCTTTAAAATTGTATTTACAGTTTTTAAAAAGTTATAATACAGCAGTGGCAACTTTTAATGATACAGATATAAAAAATGTTGTAACATAGAGGTATAAAAATGTTGTAACTTGAAGATATAGAACAGTTGTAACATAGAGATATAGAAAAGTTGTAACATAGTTGTATAAAAAGTTGTAACATAGAGGTATAAAAAATGTTGTAACTTGGAGATACAGAACAGTTGTAACATAGAGATATAGAAAAGTTGTAACATAGTTGTATAAAACAGTTGTAACATAGAGATATAGAAAAGTTGTAACATAGTTGTATAAAACAGTTGTAACATAGAGGTATAAGAAAATGTTGTAATGTAGAGGTATAAGAAAATGTTGTAATGTAGAGGTATAAAAAATGTTGCAACTTGGAGATATAGAAAAGTTGTAACATAGTTGTATAGAACAGTTGTAACATAGTTGTATAGAACAGTTGTAACACAGAGATATAGAAAAGTTGTAACATAGTTGTATAAAACAGTTGTAACATAGTTGTATAAAACAGTTGTAACATAGAGGTATAAGAAAATGTTGTAATGTAGAGGTATAAAAAATGTTGCAACTTGGAGATATAGAAAAGTTGTAACATAGTTGTATAGAACAGTTGTACATAGTTGTATAGAAAAGTTGTAACATAGTTGTATAAAACAGTTGTAACATAGTTCTATAAAACAGTTGTAACATAGTTGTATAGAACAGTTGTAACATAGAGATATAGAAAAGTTGTAACATAGTTGTATAAAACAGTTGTAACATAGAGGTATAAGAAAATGTTGTAACTTAGATATATAGAAAAGTTGTAACATAGTTGTATAGAACAGTTGTAACATAGAGATACAGGCAAGATATTATGTACAGGTATAGTAAGTCATAACTTAGAGATACAAAACTTCTAACAGAGCTTAAAAAAGTGTGGTTTCAGATTCTGGAAGAAACAATGCTAGTGCAAAATGAATGAAAATTATAATATAAAAGCTTAAATTCTACAAATCTTAAACTAAAATTAGAAATAGTGTATGGAAACAGAATGAGAAGTAAGACACTTACCACAGATATAAGTCTGACAACAGCTACCATTTTTTGGTGGTATAATCCTCAGAGTCTCGTTTATTTTACACACAGGGCTAGGTGGACAGAGAGTTTCGGTGCACTTAACTTTCAGGTCTTCTGTGCAGCTACATTTTTCACATGGTCCTTTACTCCACTCTTCTCCCACCTACATTCAAGTAACAGTATTGTAATTCTTGATAACATAACATTTAGTCTAAGCAAATTACAAACTGATGATCACATTCACTGGCGTAGCCAGGAGAGAGACTATGTGGCCATGGCCCCTTCCCCCTTTGGTTTGTATTTTTATTTTTCACCAGTTTTTCCCTACAATTCCTAATTTTCCTATGTAAATTTTTGCAGTTTTATGTTCTTTAACCTCAACTTACATGTAGCTGACTCAAAATTCTATTCACGGTTTCAAATATTCCACCTTCAACTTAGTCACGTCAATAATGTGGCATGTTATAACACTCATTTAACCAATTTAATAGAAATAATAAAATTTAAATATCATAAAAATAAACAGAAGTTATATGCAAATATGAATGTTAAGACTTGCCCCCCCCCTCTTTTTTCAAATTCCTGGATACACCAGTGAGCACACTTATAAAAACATTTAGTCTAAACACCTTAAACACATGGAATAACATTCATACTCATAAAAACATGTAGTCTAAACACCTACAACAAATATATTAATATTAAACATCTGGAATATATGGATTAACAGTCACATTCATAAAAACATGTAGTCTAAACACCTGGAACATATGGATTAACATTCATACTCATAAAAACACGTAGTCTAAACACCTACAAAAAATATATTAATATTAAATATATTAAACATCTGGAATATATGGATTAACAGTCACATTCATAAAAACATGTAGTCTAAACACCTGGAACATATGGATTAACAGTCACATTCATAAAAACATGTAGTCTAAACACATGACTGTACAATTAACATGCCAACTTTATGATAGAAATAACATTCTAATGTATTTACCACATGTCCTTCTGCATCACAGGTTTCTGGAAGTATACAAAAAAAAAGAAAGAATTAAAAATACATGTTTTCCACTTAAAAGTTAGTATCACATGATACCTCGAAAATAAGATGTAATATGATATTTCAAAATTCCCTTCATTTTTATTCTAACTTTCTTCCAAATAAATAAAATTAGCAGGGCTGCTTATAAAGTAAACTCAAGGACAACAACACAAAAAATAATACCAACTTTATTGTGATAATTCAACAATGACCTGTTAACACAATTTTGTAATACTTACCACATACAACAGAATCTAAGCATTCCCCTTGTTTGAGGACTTTGTCTTTAGAACAGAAGCACGAGAAGTGGGGTTCTAATGTGCAGTACTGACTGGACAAAGTTTTATAATTATCACATGTTTTGACACAAGGAGAGCGACATTCAAACACCATATTAGAGGGGCAGTCAAAACCTATGGAAAGAAAACAAAGTTACTTTACTTAGTTTAGTTACAACAAAAACTAAATTTTTCTAATTATCTTACATAAAATATATATTTGTGTATATACATTCTAACAGAATGTATGCTATTTAGTTCTTTCATACATCAACAAATTTAATACTAGATCAATAATTTGGATTACTCATATATCTTTGCATATTCAATTAATGAAAGTAATAAACCATTTAAACCACAATTATTTATAATTGAAAAAACATTATTGCTATACCTTTTGAGGAAATTTATCAAGGCTACCATCAGGCAAACTGATAATAGATGAGACAACAATAAATATTACATTTAAAAAATTTGTTCCAAGAATATGTGATACATGTTCACTTAATATTAACACCAATAAATGTTATATATATATATATATTTCTTGTTGTGTTTTTTTAAGATCCAAGGCTGCTTATGACCACTGGGGCACATTAGATGCTGACACATGACTGGTGTTCCTCAGGCAGAGTTACCCAGTGCAACCCATCTCCTCTCCAGCAATGAAAGATGAGAGGGAAGGCAGTGAGTCAACACTACCCACCACTAAGTCTTGGGCTATCCTCTTACCAATGAACAATGGGATTTACTATCATATTATGGTTCCCTCACAGCTGGAGGGTGTACAGGAATAGGGAATCAAACACCACAACCTGCAGCTTGCAGGTCAAGCATCCTAACCAGCAGATCATGTCACATGCAGATATATATACACAGCGTGGTCACAAGTAAATAGACACCTATTTTTTCGTCATTTAACTGATTTATGCTAACTACTTTGTGTTCACAGAGCACTATATAAATGAA